CATTACTCATGCAAATTTCATGAAACCTCGAAAGCTTTTATGAACGATAGAGCCAAACATGACAGCTTGTGCAGCTCAGAGAAAGGTTTGTGAGTTTTTGGGATTAACTCACAGATCATTTGCATGATAACATCGTTCACAACCACAGAGCCACTGCTTGTCTCGTTGACAACTCGATCGATATTTGGTTGATTATCACTGAAAGCATTATCGGATAAAGTCGTCTTAATTTCAAAGAAGTAATCAAGAATGAAGAGTTGAAAATTTTCGATCCGATAATGAAGTTTCGCATTACTGGTGAGTTTATCGCGTGATTCATTATCGCAGTGAGGTTGAAACAAAACTTCAACCTGAACATATGAATCACAAGCGGTTTTGGTCGCTCATTCACAAATTCAATCGCTTCATCCAACGAGTTAACAGTTATGATCGGTAAGATTGGTCCAAATATCTGAAATGAAAACATGTCGTGCAATTTCAAATGCGGCAGCACGACTGACCATCAGGCATTATTCTGTCTGGTGCACTTGATGGGAATCATCGCACGAATGAAAATGTTAGCAGAGAACTGATGTGCAATGTAATTAATAAAGTACCGCGGGACTTATTAACTGTGTGTTTTGAGTGAATTAACGAGAGAAAAGGTGCGGAACATGTATTGATACTTGAAAGTATCAATATATCTTTTTGAAGTAGGTATTTCTCAAATTCGTTATTCCGTTGCAATTTCCAGTATCTGTCAGTTTCATCGGAAGATGGACTGGTCGGTGGGAATTACTCGAGTAGCGTTCAGACCAATTTCATTTCAAAGCAATGGAGGCTGTACTTCTAGATTGCCAGTTTAGTGAATGATTGTAATATCAGCTGTAGAATTCTTATAAACTTCAACTAGGATTTTATAAATTCGACTCAAGTTCATGAAACGGTTCAATTCAAATTCAGAGTCACCTCATCCTTCATCAGTTCATCGTCTTCTGTCACTTCATCCACGATCGTTGGACCTATGTAAAGATCTGTTCGATTCATATCTCCACCACAAACTATGTTTCCGTTTGTTCTCGATAAAATCCCCGACAGACGGCTGTAAAAGCACTCTCATTTTCGATGAGAAAATTTTTCGAACGAGCTCAGTTGCGCTTTCAAGGAGCTTTACGGGCAAAAGCCGAACTGGCCTGAAAACCACTTGGATCCTCATCCATTTACAATCTCATGTCTCTGCTCGATCTTTCGTGTAAAATTGAACTGAAACACCTGAACAGATGATTACCTAAGCAGAGCTCAGATACTCAAAAGTTTCGACAAGTGACTAGAATTTGGCAGAGTGAATCTAGAAAGTGTTTGAGAAAAATGTTTTTGATTGAACTCATGAAGAACTCACTCGAAATGCATTTGGCTGATGATACGACAGTAATCTTCACTATTCTCAGCGTTTTCACCGTAGAACTCTCGGATGTAGGATTTGAGGGTTTCGATTAATTCCGTACGACGTTTATCTATACATAAAATGTAGTCGATTGTTACACAAGTCTGACCACAATTCACGAATTTACCCCACACGATACGTTTTGCTGTTGTTTCCAAATTGACATCGTTATCGATGATTGCTGCACTGAAGCAACAATTGTGCTGATATTGACAGCACAGTGTTTTATGCCTCACCAATTCGGCAATTTCAAGTTACCACACGAAACTATTCGTCAGAACATTCAAGTGGGTTTCAAAAATATTCATTATCATTTCAGTCATTTCTACATTTATGAATGTTGTCATATAGCATTGACTGTGAAGACAGTTGGCGATAACTTTTGGATGCATTCCCTAAAGAAATGAAAATATGTTGCTCAAATTCAGTTTTTCCGATTCTGCTACATGTCAAGCAGTTACGCTTTTTGATTATCGATCAATTTTTCTTGAGAAAGTCTACGCTTTTAACTCCACAACCGAATTACCTTAGCCTCAAGAGCTAACGATCAATCGTTTTCATATCAAATTTCCCGCAATGAGACTGAGCGAAATTGGTTCAAGTTCTTGCAAAATGTATATCGGTCAAGGAAGGAAACAGACATTATCTGAAGGTACTCAAGACAATTTTGAGATGAAATGATGATAAAAAATTGCAAATGGTCGAATCAAAACGGCTTCTCTGACCATTTTCCACCAAGTTCCAAAGTAACAGGGGTAAGGTGTTCAGCTGCTGCGCGATACACAATCTTACCAACACTGACGGATCCCGTGAAAAAGATGTGATCGAATTTCAACTTCAAAAGATCCCTGAAATCATTACATCCTTGAACTCCACCAACTCACGATCCGCACTAAATTACAAACACTATTGCGATCTGTGTTCCTACTGCTTAGTGATAGTACCGAAAAATTCAGTTGATCCCAAAGTCTTCTTTTGTTTTCGAGCTGATAGCAAATCAATTAACTCAGATTAAGCGTTCTCAGCATTGGCGTTTTCTCAGAGGAATCTTAGGTAATCAATCAATTGCAGAGCAAAAATGCATTCGCTATAGAACTTCTACGAACGTTGTTTCGTCTCGTCCACCCGTTACCACATTACAAACGTCTTCGTCGATATACTTCGGTATCAATTCGGCAATAAGTTTTTCACAGTGTGTTGCCAGCTCGGACGGCTTCAAAACGACACAATTTCCTGCAGCCAATGCACCGCATAATGGTACCAACAAAAGTTGCAGTGGAAAATTCCACGGACCAATGATGAGCACAACGCCAAGTGGTTCCTTATGAATGAACGCTGCATCGGTCACTTGCATTATGTTTCTTGAAACCTTAAAATAGTAGCCATCTGAATGAAACTGACTCAGAAATCACTCCGATAATGAAACCCAACCAATTTGACAGGACAATTGCCATATTACGAATTCAGTTAGCCTTCCTTTTCAAAACTCCACTCTGCTCAACTACTTATACTTTCATTGAATACCTTTTGTGCGCTCATCCAACTGTTCAAACTGTTGATTGTCAATGAGATTTCGTTGACGATGAACGTTGTTTCGCAGCCAATTGTTTCAGCATGCGCCTTGAAATAATTGCAGTCATTTCGATCATTCTTTATGACACCTCTCATTCAGTCATCATTACGAGCCATTTATATAATACTATTCGAAATCTAATAGTATACTATGATATTTTCAATAGTTCAAAGGTAGACTCAAACCTGTGGAATTTGAAACCCTTCAAAATTGAGTATGAAACCTCCTTAAAATGTGCATGATATCGAGATATGATATCACCGTACTTTATGCAGGTCATTGAATACTGCCTCACAGAAAAGTTGCTCATTTTCAACGATCATCGCACGCAGCTGTGTTAACTGCTTCACTCTCGCATTGTAATCTCTGAGAATTCCATTCTTGAAACTCCCTCGCAGATGAGAAACAATCTAGAAAACATTCATTGCATGATGATGATCTCATAGCAGTGCTGAATTAAGGACGATCACAAATAACAGAATTTGGACTACTCACATTTCAAATTTGGATGCTAAACAACTAATATCCCCATGAATAAAGGAAATTTTCATTGAAAGTGTCATTGCAAGCCTTGAATGCTGGAAAACTTAAAGAAATTGAAAATAGTCAATTTCTGAGAGTGTAAAATTATTATTAGATATCATGAGACCTTCTGAAAGACTTCTGTCCTCGAAGTCATCATGATGAGCTATCTGCTTGCTGCTGATGTCACTACTGACCAACTCGACTGAACTCTTCGAATGAATCTGAATTCATAAAGCAATTGCATCAGGGAAGTTGTCTTTTTGCAAGTGATCGTCGTTGATCTCTACCGAAATCTGGCTTTCATCTCACAGCAAACGAAATCGCTGAGTAAATTGCATTCAACACCGAAAGTGAACATAAAAGAAACCCGATGAGATTAGTTAAGAAATATTCGTCAATAAACGTCAGTTTCACCAGCTCAGATATGGCTGAAAATAGTAGTGGAATAAATAAACGGAAAAAAAAAGTTTCATTTTCATTTATAAAGCGCTGACGGGAGAACTGTATAAAGAAAAATTCAACTGCTCAACAAATCACTTGAACTATGCGAACAGTTGACATGTCAAGGAAACTCCGCCGATCGAGTGAAGAATGAACAAATCGATAGAACTCTTTCACGCTCACCAGTGAGCATTCATTCGTCATTACCGCTAAACATATGATCTTCTCAAAACAGGTTATTCATTTTCAGTTGCCGATACCAAATACCAAATGTTCTTTGAGGAAGATCAATTGCAATTACATTTTGTTTGTGTTCTTTTTCTGAAATTTTAGATTGCATACTTTTGGGGAGAAATTCGCAACTGTGAATATGATGTTACCCGCAAAAGTAATTTATTAGTTTTTGGTTCTATTCGCTATGTGTTCTTTAAATAGACTACGATACTTCTTGTCCTGGAAATTCCGCCGTAAAGTAAATTCACTTGGCTGTACTCGTACAATTTTCAATGGACTGAGACATCCTCATTGTCAGCAAATGGATAAAAGCAGGTTTCTTGAGTTAATTGAGCATACCGTGTGAAATTTATCATCTGTGGAAAACTTCCGTGCATGCTCTCGTTTCGCAGTTTATCGAATCATGTGTCTGCTCTTTCTGCTTTGCCATGAGTGCAGTTAGCGTGATTGACGTGAAGAAAGTTGAACACTTAACCTTCGGATCATTATTCCATTTGAATGAATTTGTAATTTTTAATTATTGCTGTATATTTGATGCAAACGGCATGATGATCTTCTATTGCATCGTGTGAAAATAACTTCACAGCTGACTTTCCTTCTCCTTTCAGGTTCGTGAGCAGAGGGAATGACTCAGAACTTTGCTTCTAGTTCCTACAGCAGGTTTTGAAAGCTTTTCCGTAATCTTCACGTTAACCTTTGAAAGCATTTCCGTAACTCATGGATTAATTCGGATGCACCAATCAGCTGAGGTGTATTTCACGGTTTGAAATAACTTATATGAGGCAAATTCATGTCATCGTCACATTTAATACAACATTACTTAGATGACAAATTCAGTTACAAATTTTCAAGCATGAATCAGCGGTATCAGTCAATGTCTACTGAGTTATTTATTTAAAGATTATTCAGCTATTCGTTCCATGCAATTTTCACGGACATACAAACAGTACCATAAAAGTGGCATAAACATAAAAGTGTACGCAAGTAAAAGTACAAATTTGATTATTTGTCAAATGCTTCGCTATCACTTATTGATTTGCAATCGCTGAGTAATTTAATTGCTCTCATTGATAAACATTATAGTCCTAGATTTTTTGTAAATGACTCAGTTGGGTTGTATATACCTATAAAACGAGTCGTCCACATTAGGTACTGAGCAACTTCAAATTATTGAATAGTGTTGCGAATCCTTCGAGAAATGAGCAAGATGAATAATCTGTTGATCATCTTTGCATTGGCGCTTATGTATTCCGGTTATACAGGTTAATCGTTTTGATTTTAACTGTCCATATTTTATCCAGTCTCCCTTGGCAAGAAGCAATATTTGAGAGTAATCTGTCGCTTAACACTTTTAGTATGATACTTTCGAGGAAAAAATTATCTTTTGTTAGCATCACAGAACACTGCAACGACCATTAAAAAAATTCAACGACTTGATCGATAGAAACGAACAGACTGATCAGTTATCATGTCCCAATTCTAATTTGGTGAAGATGAGCACAGTTGAGCATAATCTAGCTGCTTGAAATTTGCATGCTTTATGACTCGAAATGATGAATCGATCAGTCTTTTCAGATGCTGTGAAATGCTACACTGGAGCGGGCTCAACGGATCTAAAGTTAGTGCAATGTGCTGAAAACGTTACAATGTGCCTTCAATTCAATTGTTCATGGTGTATGTATGAATTGATGCACTTCATATTCTTCCATATCGATTTGATGTTTGCAGCAATAGAGGATATTTGATTTCGTTTGAAGCAAAACCTGGTGCTGTACAGGTACTATTATGTGCTACAGTCAATTACCTGNGCAATGTGATAAAAGCGTTACAATGTGCCTTCAATTCAATTGTTCATGGTGTATGTATGAATTGATCCACTTCATATTCTTCCATATCGATTTGATGTTTGCAGCAGTAGAGGATATTTGATTCCGTTTGAAGCAAAACCTGGTGCTGTACAGGTACTATTATGTGCTACAGTCAATTACCTGCACAGGTACCAGGTGCCTATACATTTTGTGCAGTGAATTATCTGCGCACAATTATGTTTCCAAAATAAGTTTCATATGAAATGACTGTTTAGCACATAATGGAAATTCAGTGTCCTTTCCATCATTTTCTCGTTTGTGATCGAAATTGCAGATGAGGAAACAATATACGGATGTGACATACGTGTTGGTAACGAAACGCTTGGTGATAAATCAAGCAAAGAGTGTTTGAGGTACGGCAATGCGCAAGCTACGTGGTGTTCGTGTAGTGAGGATGGATGTAATAAAATCACGTTTCCTCCGTGCAACAATGGTAAAGACAACGGTGCAATCGATCGTCTACAGCATTCATCCATTCTTACGGCAGTTCTATCGTCTTTCATGTTTCTGATACTGAAGTAACATTCTGGCCTTCCAGTTCAGTTAAATGGTGTTTCCATGTATATTATTACCGAATTCTTAACGAGTTGTGAAAAGACGCATCACATGAAAATATTGAATAAACTGCACATTTTCGGCTTATGCTTCATACATTTGGGATTTCAACAGTGCAATGATTTTTATTCGTATGATGACTGCTGATTGCTTTGTGTCACCAGTTTACGTGAATAATGATTGCAAAATTATGATCTTGTGATGGGTAAAATTTTAGAATTTTGAATTCCTTTGCATCTTCGACGAATTTCGACGCCAGAATTGCAATCGACATTGAATGCGTTGTTTTCTTCGAATAGTTGTTTTGAGGTGGTTTTGCTGACGTTGATTGCCTTATTTTCACACATTTTTTCAATGAAAATGACAGCGAAGTCGCCTCAATCGCCTTCAACTACGCGGTTGGATCCATTTTTTGTCCAACAGACATTGTTTCCGTGCATAGTTGAATAGTAGTCGGAGTTCGATTCGAGAATCGAGATAGCATGCTATTTTGAGGAGCGACAGGCAAAAGTCTGAAAATGTGATTCACAAGCCAGAAAGTTTTGCTCTAGAGATGAAAAATAATGCCAACATACGACCATTTTGGAAGCGAATTTGACTGCAACCTAACTGGTCAGCATGCCTTCATGATTTTCTCATGCGCTCGAATTACTTTGTATTTTTTCAATGTTACTATAGCTTTTGCCACTTGTTTTCGTGTCTCTCGTTGTCATTTATCTTTGTGTATCATAGCAATCGGTTATAAAATATTTCTGGTTCTTTCCGTCATGTTTATCAGTAAATAATTTACTATCGAAATTGTAGACAATCTGACGTGAACGTCGTTTGAAATGACTTTCTATGAAGAGGATATTGAACACTTCAAAACTGCTGTCGAATCACCAAGTTTTCCTGATCTCTCAACGGCTATTGAAAACAGCAAAAGATGTCAACCAAACGATATTCGTTTGAGTGATTGATTCTCGTTCCTGATGATCGTTCTATCAAAACTTCCTCAAGTTGCCCAAGTGTGTGTGTGTTCAATCATTCTCAAATTCTGATCATGCAGAATATTTTATCCATTAACCATTGTTTCTGTTCAGTTTCCTTACTGATCGCGCGACATGTTACAGTGATAATTAAAGGAAAATTTTGAAGCTTCGTGATGTTTCATGCTATTTCCAGCTGGACGGAAATTCTTTCAGGATTTTTCAAGCCTGAAAGGTTGAGCGATAAAGAGTTTCTTCACAAGCTTCATTCGATAATCTTTGAATACATTATTGTCATTGCATCACTGTTCAAACATTGTAAATGTACCATATTTGCACTTCAATAAAATTGTTTACCATTCCCATCTGATGAACAAACCCAGTTTTGTTATCAATCCCGCTGTTCTCAACCACAAAGCAATATCAACACTTTTGGGTAACGCCCATATTTATCTCCTTAACGTGTACCCGACTGACTCGCAATGAACGTAAACACAATCAAATCGTGCACTTAAAAAACTTCTATGTTTGAGATATGTTTAGATAGCTTTTGATGTGAAGCAATTTTTATGTTCATCACAAAAACGATCTGATTACATTGCTTTCGTATGGAGTGTCATCTAGCGATGCAACAGACTTGCTCGAGCACAGAAAATTGATGAATCTGCCCACGATGAACTCTCCGAAACACTGGTTTTTGGTGTGTGGGTGACGAGTGCAAAGGCTTCATAATCACAACTCATAGACTATCTTGATCTGATGCATCATAAACAATGAAGTTAATCGTAAAGCATATCATTCGAGGAAGTTTGGTTACAAAGTTGGATCGTATGTGTTGTTTATGTGTTGTTCGTATCTCGACACTTGAATGGCACTATTGAGAGGAACACCCTTCATAATATAAATTTAAGCTTAGTTCAACTTAATTTCTCATCGATTAACAAAATTTTATCCATTAATTGACAATAAAGTCTGCAAACAATGCACTAATTACTAGCTAATATGATCATTAATAGTTCACTGGTTAATGGCTCACAGATCGCAGTGAATGCATTAACAATAATGTACTTTTTATGGCATCGGTTATGTAGTGAAAATGACCGAGCATATGGTTGTGATCACAACTGAGAGATTGGTGCTGATAATTGAATCGTATCTCGACACCTGAATGGCACTATTGGATAGCTGACGAACTAAGTACATGTACACTGAAGCAGATATCGATGCTGTGTTCTGATTTTGATTTTAATAACCGAAGAAATCAAGAACTAGCAAGCACGCCTTGAGCTTAGATTTTGGCTCAAGCTTCGTGATGCTTAAACTCATCTTTCCACTGTGAAATCATAATCTGAAGCTGCAAAATTCAGCACCATATTATACAAGTGGAGGAAGAAATAAGATGAAATCAAAGCGAAACAACAAGATGAATGAGTGCCTGAACATTCAGTTACTCACTAATATACAGGAAATAATTAGGTGATTAGATTTCACTTCAAATCTAATATGAATTCATACTTGATAACAATGAGCAATTTTTTGGGGACATTCCAGTGCTCCTCGGAATCCGTCAATGTTCTCAGTATGTGAAGCAAACTGTACGATAATTTTCCATGCGCAACACGTATCGCGTCATCTGCCCCTCAAAAAAGGTTGTATCGTATGGTCAACGTTTCAAATACATCACATACTAATCATGCACTAGCAATATCACCTCCACATTCTGTTGATGAATGAATTCGAGTATAATTTGTGTGGAAAAGTCTAAAGTGCCGCAAATAACATTGAATTCGACGACATGATGAGATAATTGCACAATTCGAAAATTTATGATCTATCACATATGATTTTCATCCCATAATTTAATATTTATTCGCAGTTTATTATCTTTTCAAAAATTCTCAAATATAGCTGATTTTAAGCATTCGGAAATGTTCATAATAATTGTATTTCATATCACAACATGCCAATGATATTGCAGGGAATCTGCTAATGTTATGTTAATGCTATTTTATCCTTATCATTGCTATCTTTATGGTATTACTGTCTTAATTTCTTCCCCTATTAGAAATGTTGTTATTTTCATAATTACTATCGCTATCGCAGACATTATTATCGTTCTCATTATCACTATCCTTGTGATCATCATTCATACTCCTCCCATTGTTTGTGGCATTACTGTCACGATTGTGCTGCTTTATTACCATTGTTATTTTCGTTGAACAATTAATCAGGCAAAGAATAGCATTCACTGCAAATGTCTTCCAAGCCATAATATCATATATCCATTTGTATCCATCATCATATGTCATAATATAGCTACGCATATTACGACAATATTATGAGATGGATATCCTGTTTATCTCAGCTAATGCCATAATAATGAAAATTATGATTGCCTTACCATCTGTCTATAATGACCTCATTCAGTACTCTTCTAAACACCGTCACAAATTTTCTTATCCGTTCCTTCAAAATATTTATTATGAGGAGACCACCTCTTGTTAGCAAAATCTTTTACGGACGATTGTTTGCTACTATCAAATGGAATATACCATTCAAGTTGTTCATTTATTTTCAACAAATTTCCTTATTCACTAACTGCAATAATTTATTCAGCTCATAAGCATTTCTACTATCATTGAATATTACTTTTCATGCTTACTTAGCATTGTCCGTTGACTTCATTTGCTTGAATCCCTTCATTGAACTATTCGATGCCATTCACCGAAATTTTGATGCTCAAATAAGCATTTGTTGTATTTCGTCGAACTCTTTCATCTCATTCAGCTATTTCCTCCCTATTCCATGAATTGCTCTCTTAATTCATTTTCAATTTATTACTGCTTTCTGTCCGATAGCATTGCCTATCGTGAATTAGCATCATGGAATTCTCATTAAAACATTTCCCTATTGTTGACGATGAAAACAGTCACACTGTCTCATTGTCGTGCAGAAATGAGTTTAATACGCATTAATTTGGTGTTTACATTTTCATCATTTGAAACTCATGCAATAAATTTTTTCCCATTTCGATTATTTCCATTACCTAATTGAAAACATTCCGCTTCAGGAAATAGACTGAAATAATGGCCATTAAAGTCAGTTATCGCAAGCGCAGCAGATGTGTTCTGCACTGCAAATTAGCAATCGAGGCGTTCTGACATACTGCTTGCAATCCACTTTTCATCGCATCCAATCCAGTCACATATGAACAAATCAGCACTCATCATCACTTTTGTGCTTATTTTTAGTCACAGTTTCCGTAGTTCTAACATTTGCTTCATCCCGTCTCCATGTTCTAATATTGATTTCTCATGTTCCAGTAAGCTTGCAGCTTTTTCATCCAGTGTACTTACCAGAACTTGAAATTGCTATTTGCTATTGAGATTTTTACATTCTGAAGAATTTTCAGCATTTCATCACATTAGAGCCTAACTATGGCATCATATTAACCCCATATACAGCCAAATTCTGCTATGGATGAAATGCGGTAGCCAAAAAACTTCCACATAAACTCACAATCAGAGAAACCGGATTGAAGCGCGATGTACTCGTCAGACTTAGACTCTGATATGATG